CTATCGATTGCATCGGCACTGTACATTAGCAAAAGTTTTCTCTTAAACGAAATCCATAATTTTACTACCTCATTATCACTATAAGTAACGGGAACGTTTTGCAGATGTTATATATTTCTTCCACCCAAATATTTGCTTTTAGACTACTCCATATATATATATATTTTTCTTATGGGATATAATGCATGGACTAAGTATCTAGTCGCTTCTATGTTGGTTCTACCGAAAATATCCAATATTACCTGTTCGGATTTTCAACGGTGACATTCACCACTATCAAAGAAAGAGGTCCCTGTCTGTTACTACGCTAGTTGTTGGGCGTTTTCTGTGCGCTCTTCCTTGAGATCTGTAATGGCTTCATAAACACAGTAGTGACCCGGCAAACATGCGATCTTTTGTGTACTGGCGTCTTTCACTCTCCAAATACCCCCATTTGCGGCTTTCAGCTAGCAGAGTCCCCAGACCGTAGGCTGAGTGTAGAGTCTAATGGGTTATCAACTCCGTGGCACTCTCCGAACTTCGCCGTGAAGAAATTCCCAGAAAGTTGTGCGTCAAATTATAGGGTGTGAATGAACCGCCCTCATCCCCGGCGCACGCGTGGTGAATGTAAGTCCGCATTTCTGCACGAAGGGTCATTATATCGATCTGGTCTGGCCAGTTCTCACCAACCTTGCCCTTCTGTAAAGTTCGAGACTGTCGTGATAATTTCTTCTTTCGTTGCGATACCTAAGGTTAGGTGCCGTGCGGTGCAAGCAGAAATTAAAGAAAAGTGTTTGTGTAGCGCATAGAGACCTTGCCATTATTTTCATCTTTACTAGTAGTACATAATGGCCGCCATAGACCTACGCAGTACTGACTGTCCGTTTCTGTGCTAGTTGTTACGTGCTCCAACAAAGGGACTGGTCACACACGTCGTCCCACCGTCGAACGACCGCACACTGAGGACATTCTTCGGGTACCCATGTACGTGTCGCGCAAAATTCATCTGTTTTCTTGCGGCAATATCGGTCTTAGGAGGTCCTTTTCGGCTGTTGGTTCTGTCACAAAATTCTACGGCTTCAAAATCGTTCGACGACCTACGACAAAAGTGACCCTGCCATAACTCATAATTAATATCTAAGTTCTACGAAAAGTGCGGCTGATTATGACCTCTTGTATAACCGGTGTGATTAGATGGATGCCTTGGCAAAAATTCCTTGTTGACTTCTGAGAAAAAATTGCTCCCACCTAGCACACAAAAGTCAACTCACCAGTGAAAATGAGAGGAGACGGCGACGCCCTGTTACCTTAACTCTGATCGGCACTTCGGACATGAGGTCAAGTGTGGAGATGAGTGGATCTACAGGTGATAGAAGCTGTGGACAGGACCTGTGGAGACGAAGGTACTGATCTAGAGTTCTGAGGGACGAGAAATGTTATTGCTGGGACCTGCCTTTTTGCAGAGTCATGATTGGCTGGAATTTCTGGGAACTGTGTTCATACCAGACGAAAAACTGCGGTTAGTCGCAAGACGTATAGCAAACAAACTCGACCGCTCCTTGCCAAGATTCCGCAGCCAAATTTATCGACCTGACACAGAACCAGTTCCCGGCTGCAGGGCAGTGATCAAAGGCTTTGAGACGGCGGCGTCCTGGGATTACTTCTCATACATCAAGTAGAACCACATGTACATGGACATTGATTATTTTCGCCATAGACATTTCAGGGGGACCGTTATGGAGGCATGTGCAGCCGTCAGATAGATGCGTTCTCCGCACAGTCACTATCTCCTCTTCAGTACATCGTTAAAGTCTTCAGTACATACAGCTAACGTTTCCTCCACATGATGTATCTTGGCGAAAACCTGTCAGCCGTCCTATCCGAGGAGTCAATTCTTCCGACACTGACAGACGCGGACGTCTTATGGTGTTCTACGTACGGAAGTCTATTGACAGCACATGAAATATATATCCAATTATCATGCTGGAGAAGCAAAATAACACATAAAACTTTGATAAAGATCGGTCTTATCTTTGGTCCCGTTTGTCGATGATAGGAACGCTCCAATGCGTGTTACTGGAGCAAGTCAATTGCAAACGCACTGCGCACGCCTAAGATTTGAAGTCTGACAGTCGCCATGTTGGTTCAGTCGATCCTCCCCTTCCCCATATTGCTCTCATATATCGACAGTGATTTAGACAAATGGTACAAAAGACAGAACTAATCGCACACGTTTTCCCGGGACCTTTGCCGGCGGTGATCTTCAGTTCCCATGGGTATACCTTTCCCGAGGACCCCGTGCCCGTGGCCCGCTGTTTTACGTGTCCCGTGACGCCCCAGGCTAAACCACGCTTCTCCTAAACTCGGAGAAAATTGCCGTAACTACTACAGGACAAGGACATAAAGCTTTCAGTGGTATTAGACTTGGAGTTCTAGAAATAGTATAATCTTGTTCCGAAAGACACAGAACAAATCCCGCAGATGTAATATGAGGCAGAACCATTCATCAAGCAAGCTGTAAGACATCATGGATGATTCTCAATCCTACCAGCAGTACCTTGCTATGGAGTGAAACCGTTATACGACACTTAAGGACACAGCAAGTAAACTTCGCGGATGACATGTTGCGCAGACTCCAAATGTAATGCGATAGGGCGAAAAAAACAAGGCGGGCAAAAAAAGCAAGAATCCTGTATTTTCAAATTCTGACATCATAAATCTTGTTAAACAAGAAATTATACCTATATTGAGCTAACTTTACTGCCAACTATTACAACATTCATTTCTCACTGAAACAACTTTGAAACATAGAAAAAATTCAATCATGTACAAATGGTTTTGATTCACTGAGAACATCACATATACACAGCCACTATCACATATAGAGGGAATGAAATACATCACTACATCAAAGAAAAAGACAGAACATTAAATGAGAGCCTCTTCTCCTCTCTTCATATTTATCTGCCATCCACGTCCTGGTATGGCAACAGACATGTTTGACCACTGTCAGACGGCAACAAAATTTCTTGTTTTATTTTTTCAAAATCAGGCGAAAATTAATGCGCGCGCTGATGTCATCCACAGAAATGACTTGCTGTGGCCTAACGCTATGTAACTCGCGAGATTTACGGCAAGCCGTTCACGTAGCTTTGCCGGTCGTGAGGAGGTGCAGAATCCGCAATGATCTTTCCTTTCGGGAGGATGGCTCCCCTTCTGAAACAACCATTACGTTACGACGAGGAACTCGGTTCTTTGAACTCTTTCAATAGGATCTGTTCATACCTCAAGAGCTGAAATAACTCATGAAACCCGATTTGACGGCAAAAAAGGAAACAACTTCCATCAAAATCGAGACGGCTTCCAGACTACGCACGAAAGAATTAGGACTGGTAAAAATAAACACTCGTGGGAACCACAAGTTCCGTCCAAACTATTCCTAACCCGTACCATCTCCCCGTGCTTGCGAAGTTTGGTCGTTTCCTGCCCAGATGAAGATTAATGGACGCGAAGAGCAGGAGACACCAGACGGCCTGCCTCCCTGTCGACATAAATGAACCAGGGTTATTCTGTTTTCTCTGCTTGGCACGTATGTGTGATTAGACGTAATTTTATTGATTCGATTTGTGCTGCCAATTTTATTCCAGCTTAGTGAGCGATTGGCTGTTTCCTCTGGGACGAGTTCCTTGCTTGTGGGAGCACATGTTAAGAAAATAAGTGGCTGTTTAATTAACAAAGGATGGAGGTCCTTGTTTGGGATCTCATCAGGTGCACGCGAAATGTGATTGGCTTTATCCATAAAAGCCACTGTCTCACTCAAATATGAACAATTAGGGTTGTTATACATTGTCCCTGAAATCCCGCCCACCCTACCTGAGTGTTTAACAGCTGTGTACGTATATCATATGTCTGTGCTGCGGTCCATCACACAGCTGTAGGTCACACCTCTGCGACAGTTTCATGTAAAACTTCGTTCTCTGCACATAACCATCCCTTACATCTTCACGGTGTCGATTTCTGTAGGAATTTTCTCATCTTCAGGTGGATATGTGGTCTTGGCTCCTATTGTAAAGTCTCCCAAGAGTTACGTTTGGCGGCCCAGCGATCCGTCAAAAATTTACCGCCTGAAAGACGTACAAAAACGAGGCAGCCAGATGTGACGTGTATCCTGAGATAACAGACGTGTGGAATAGACGCTATCGTCGCTGACTTGTCCAAAGATGTTAACATTCCTGTCTCGTCTAATGTCAGTAGATCAGTACAAAACGCTGTAGCTTCTTACAGGACGTCGGATAAATAGAACACTGTAGTTTGTCACAACATATGCTCATATGTGCAGTCGAAAGCTGAAAGAATTAAGTATGCGATGGCTCGACATCTTTCCGTCTTGGTGCGCTTGGTGTTAGTCGTACATGTATGTATCGGTGTACCCGCAGGTGCTTAAGACATTCAAATTATGGCTGATGGCGTTAGGATGAAGTAAGCCTCATAGATGGAGAAATAAACTCACTGCACAGGGCGTCACAAGAACTGCCAGGTCCGCCACTACCACTGCATGCTATTTCCAATTGCGTAAAAAAGCGGTGGCTTTGGTTGGAGAGTATCTATGTATATAATCTGTGAAAAAATACCCATTTGGAAATGTTTCAAAGAAATACAGAAGAGAGAAGTTAAAAGTCAGACTTGGGGTACAGT